CTTTCCATATCTCACGTGTGACCCTTACAAAACTTGTGAGTCAGGAGAGCTGATGGCATTGTTCTAAGGTAAATGGCCAAGGCCAAAGAGGTATTCACAGCCACAAGGTTAGCAGCAAAGGCTTGACCAAAGCCCAGGTTTGCTATCTCAGAGTCTAGGCTCCTCCACTATTCAGCAGAAGGAAATTACCATGAAGTGAAAGCCTCCTCTGTTGATTTTGTTTTGTCCACACCAAGCAGCCATTTTGCCCTTTGGGGCTGCTCTGATTTAGGTTTTGATATTTTGTTGGTGGATGTCCGTACAGAAGGGGAACACAGCTGGAATTGCTGGGGTTTGCAACTGGTATGAATCAAGTGGCACTTGTGGCTTCAGTGGAGACAGAATCAAGGTCGTCTTCAGAAAGCAAACGCAGCCTGTGGTCAGAGGAGCTGCTGAAATAGAAGCTGACATGCACAAAGTGTGCCTCCAGACAAACCAGGCTGAGAGCCGTCATGATTATTTTTCCTCCCAGCAGGGCATAATGATAAAATAATACCTATCAGTCATGGAGAACAGTCCAACCTTTCTATGCAGTTTCCATGAAGCAGTGGTCAGGAGATAATCTGTGCATGTATTTGCACACACACACACACACACACACACACACACAGAAAAAATTCTATGGATGCATAAGTGTGGGAAATATGGTGCACTGTGACTGGATGAGGTGGTTCATGCCTATAATCCTAGCACTTCAGGAGGTGGAGACAGGAAGATCACTTGAGCCCAGGAGTTTGAGACCAGCCTGGAAAACATAGGGAGACCTCTTCTCTACTGAGATTTTAAAAATGTGGCCGGCTGTGGTAGCACATGCCTGTGGTCCCAGCTATATGGAAGGCTGAGGCAGGAGAGGCAGGAGAGGCAGGAGGATTGCTTGTACCTGGGAGATTGAGGCTGCAGTAAGCTATAATCACACTACTGCACTTCTGCCTGTGTGGAAGACAAAGACCCTGTCTCAGAATATGTGTGTGCATGTGTGTGTATATGTGTGTGTGTGTACTATATACATATTATATATAATATATATATTTATGTATGGCACTGTGTAATGCCCCCTTAAGAGATCACAAAAAAACTGTAATATTGATATGGTTTGAATGTGTGCTCCAGGTTCTTGTGTTGGGAGGTGGGGTGAATAAGAGGTGATTAGGTCACAAGGCTCTGCCCTTGTGAATGTTATCATCACCCTGGTAGGTTAATTATTGCTACAGTGGGCTCATTATACAAGCAAGTTGGGCCCCCTCTTACCCTCCTGCTCGCTCATGCTCTCTTGCCCTTTTATTTTTCACCATGGTATTGGCATAGCAATAAGACCCTCACCAAGTATGACCCCTCGACCTTGAACTTCCCAGCCACCAGAGCCATAAGAAATACATTTCTTTTCTTTATAAATCACCCAGTCTGTGGACTTCTGTTATAGCAACACAAAGTAGACCAAGACAAACACATTCAAGATTTGAGAAGCCTGCGGTTACCTGCAAACCTGTTTCACCTAGTATTTCTCAAACCTAATGGGGAAGGAGAACAGGGAAACTTTTTATATAATACCTACTGCAGAAGATATGTTTAGAAAAGCTATATTACCTCATTTAATCCTTACAACAATGCTAAATGGTAGGTATTAGAGAGGTCAAATAACTTGCCTAACAGAACTAGATTTCCACTTAGGTCAGCCTGAAGCCAAATCCCACTCCATTAAGTATGGAGCTATATAACCTGAAGGTTTTGGGTTTATTTAGGGTCCTGTGTTGTGAAGGCTCCTGTGGGCTCTTAGTGAAGCTGTGAGTCCTGAGACCCTACGACAAGATAAGAAAAGCTGACTGCAAATGGAGAAGCTGAGGAACGCCTGGGCAGGGCAGGTTTTTAGGAAAAAGGCAGGAGAAGAGAAGGAACCTATTAGAGCTGGTTAGTAGTGAAGAGGGTGGGAAGTGGGTGGGAGTAGGTTGGAAAAGACAGTAAAGACCTGTGCAGTGAGAATACCAATTGCAGGGCTGTTGTGAGGGTAAAATGAAAATCTGTTTATCAAGTACCTAGCACTGCACCCTTCCCAGGACAGTAAGTGCGAGCAGGATGAGAACAGCAGATGGGAGTGATAACAAGCCTCAACTCTATAGGCCAGTGCAAAGCTTTATCTCCATGCTGAGCTCAGCAGAATCACCCAAGACTGAACTTGCATAATCTCACAGCATCCCCCTCCATTCACTTAGGCTTTTCAGGGGTGTTTGATTGAAGGAGTTCATTATTTGCCTCAACTGTCTCTAACTCTTACCACAGTGCCTCTCACGATCACAACTGATCGTTCACTTGAAATAATGAATGCAAATAGAAGACTGGGTCATCAGGAATCTTCAGGGAAGGAAGAGCAAGTGGGTGAGGCCGTCAGCGTCACAGACTGACAGCCCCCAAGGCTGGGAATAAACCTTGCCCAGGTTGAGTTTGACCTACTGAATGTCTTAAAAAGATGAATTTGTTTTCAAAATTTATAATCAGGCTACATCACATAAAAAGTCAAATTCTGGCTTCCCTCTATTTATTTTTTTGTACCTTTTAGTTTTAAAAACAAACATCTATTTCTAGAGTCTGGGAAGTCCAAGATTAAGATGCTAGCAGATCCAGTGGCCGATGAGGGCCCTCTTTCTGTGCATAGGCAGCCGTCTTGTTCCCATGCCCTCACAATAGAAGGAACAAGGGAGTTCTCTAGGGTCTCTTTTCTTTTATTTATAATAGAAATGCTCTTGCTATGTTAACCAGGCTGGTCTCAAACTTCTGGCCTCAAGCTATCTTCCTACCGTTGCCTCCCAAAGTGCTGGGATTACAGGCATGAGCCACCGTGCCCAGCCAGGGGTCTCTCTACTTTTTAAAATTTCCAACTTTTATTTTAAGTTCAGGGGTACATGTGCAGGACGTGCAGGTGTGTTACATAGGTAAAAGTGTGCCATGGTGGTTTGCTGCACCGATCGAACCACCACCTAGGTGTTAAGCCCAGCACCCATTAGCTATTCTTCCTGATGCTCTCCCTCCTCCCATCTCCCACTCTCCGACAGGCCCCAGTGTGTGTTGTTCCTCACCTGACTTCCTTCTAAAAGGCCAGCAATTGCAAGATCAGGACAGCAGTTGCCTGGAGCTAAGTCACCCCAGCTGCCTCAGGTCTACCTGACTCACTGAATTACCTGATCCACCAGAGTAGGATTTGCATCTGTGCTGTATGCCCAAGAGTAAGATTTGTGAAAGAAATCTACAGCCATCTCCCCTTCCTCAGAATGAGCTTACTGGGATTCCTAATAAAGGTTTCTGGTGAGTGTCTATAAAAGTATTTGGTCACCTGCAAAAAGGAAGAAAACTGTGGCACCTGGTTCATTATTTAATCCTGTCGTACTAACGTCCCTTCTGTGTGTGAGAGAATTAAAACATCGGGCTATCAACTTTATAAATACAGCAACTAGTTAGAGAAGAATAAAGAGCAGCTTAAGTTTATCATGCACTCTCATCTACGTATTGGAAACATCAGCGCTGATGGAACTGTTCAGCAGCGAACACTGGTGAATAGATTTTAGTTCTTTAAAAGCCTTCATTCTGAAGATGTTGAAGTGCTGTGCCGTTGTCAAGCTTAGCATGGTACAATAATGCAAGTCACAAATACGAGCCACCTTCATAATATTAAATTTCCTAGCAGCCACATTAAAGATGTAAAGAGAAGCGGGTGAATCTTTACTTAACCTATGTAAAACAGTGTCATTTCAATGTGTAAACAATATAAAAATTATTAAGAAATTTTACCATTTTTTTTACTGAATTCTTCAAAACCTGGTATTTTACACTTAAAGCATATTTTAGTGTGGTCTAGCTACTTTTCCGGTGCTCAGAAACTACACTTGGCCTGTGGCTGCCTTATTGAACAACACAAATGCAGATGAAATCATATATTTGCCTTGGATTAGCAAACAAGGATATATGGAGGGAGAGCTGGTATGAATTTGCCACAGATCTCACAGGGAACCAGGAGGCCAGCCAGGAAACTGACATCGTTCTAATCTACGAACCATCTTCTCCAGGTTCTTTCGGGCCCCCAAATGTGCCCTCACTCTGATCCTTCCCCCGTCTATCTCTGTCTCCTTTCTTCATTATCTAACTGGAGCCACTGTAGGACTGTGAACAGCACAGGATGTGGAGAAGGAAGGAGTGGGCTGGATTCCCAGCCTGTCTCTTGCAGGCTAATGACCTTGGGCAAGTTATTTAACCTCCCTGGTCTCAGATTTCTTTTCAATCAAATAGGATTAGTTCCTTTCATCACTGAGTTCTGAGGATTATATAAAATCATAAATGTAACCTCCTTAGCACCAAATAAACACTACAGTTTTCAACTTTTTAATTGTTATTTTTAAGTGTGTGTGTGTTTGATGAAAAGAGCAGTGGAGAAAAAAAATTGGACATGTGAGAATTTTTTTAAAAGATGTATTAAAATCCCAGGCCACATTCTATTCCTTCTTTAGTAGCTGATGCTTAAAAATTTTCTCTGTGCTTATAAAACCATGACTTTGCCCAAAGCACCCTAAGCCTAGGTCATGCATACATACCCAAAGCATGAGAATAAAAAAGGAGTTCCTGTTTTCACTAGAGTCTGTCCAATCACATGACAACCTAAAAACAAGGGGGAGACACCTCAATGAGCACCATGGGGACACGGCAAATACTCTAAATGTCTAAGGAAACTTCACAGGGTCATTGCATATGAAGATGGCGAGAATTCTATCATGCAGAGGACACAAGTTTCTCAGCCCCTGCAGGTTCCCCCACTGTAAAATGGTGCTTTGCAGCCCTTAAGGAACCTTACCAGACTGAAACCTTTCAAGGTCCTAAAGTCTGAAGCATCCGTGCCACACTCTCTCTTCCACTTAAGCTGTAGCCCCTGCTCACATCCTTGGGCACTTTGAGAAGACTAATAAAATAAAGGGAAGACTCACCAGTTCATCCTCCTCTCCCTGGTTGAGCAAAGCCCGCTGGGGGGTTTTACTGTTCTCCTCCATCTAAACTCAACCGGTTAGGGTTTCTCCTGGCTAACTCCTTGAAGAAATATCAAAATCCCCTGGGCTTCTGTGAACTCACAATCATCACAGCTTGTGACTGCTCTTCTCATGTACTTTTAAAATCTCTTAGTACACACCTTGCCTATTAGACTAACAAAGGAAAAAGAGAAAATCTTCTCAGGAGCAGGAGTGGTCTGTTAATCTGCTTGCTGTGTGTGTGTGCGTGCGTGTGTGTGTGCGTGTGTGTGTGCGTGTGTGTGTGCGTGTGCGTGTGTGTGTGTGCGTGCGTGTGTGTGTGTGTGCGTGTGTGTGTGTGTGTGTGTTTTTCTTTCTTAGTGTTTGTTTACTTAGCTAGACATGAGTGCCTCTAGACTTGAGGAATGAAGGAGAGGAAAGCCGTCAAACTAGAAAGATAACCATAAATAATTCTGTGTGCTGTCCATAAACATCTCAGCCAAGGAATGAGTATAGTCCCTTTGCTAAAGCCTAAGACAAAAGGATTAACCAGTAAGAGGTGTATAAAAACCCTGCAGACTTTGAAAAAGTAATGAAATATTAAGGGTGACAATGAGAATTGAAGGAAGAAAGGTTGGCTCATGAAAGAGAATGTAAGAATCATTTTGGAATTAGAAAAATCTGAGTTCTAATCTCTGCTTTACTGATGACCCTGGAAAAATCACTTAAAATCTAAATTTTAGGTTTCTACTACATAAAATGTCAATGATAATTGGGTGATATAAAGATTTAAGATGATAACAATTACACTCTCCACACTCAGTAAGAGAGAAGTAATCATCATCACAATCATTCCATTAATCAAGAAGAAAGAGGCTTTAAAAAGTAAACTATGAGGCCGGGAGCGGTGGCTCATGCCTGTAATCCCAGCGCTTTGGGAGGCCGAAGCGGGTGGATCATGAGGTCAAGAGATCGAGACCATCCTGGTCAACATGGTGAAACCCCGTCTCTATTAAAAATACAAAAAAAATTAGCTGGACATGGTGGCGCATGCCTGTAATCCCAGCTACTCAGGAGGCTGAGGCAGGAGAATTGCCTGAACCCAGGAGGCAGAGGTTGCAGTGAGCCAAGATCGTGCCATTGCACTCCAGCCTGGGTAACAAGAGCGAAACTCTGTCTCAAAAAAAAAAAAAAAAGTAAACTATGTTAATAACTAGATTCTTTTCATTTACTCTTTACAGTTTACAAAAGTTTTCAAATGAGCAAAGTGTGTGGAGGGAGGAGATGCTAGAAAGACCAAGGATTGAGGTTGTAGCCCAAATTTCAACACCACTGAATGTGATATTTTCATCAAAAAATAAGTATACTGTGATTCATTCCAGAGTTAGTTAATTTGTTCATGATGAAAATTTTTGTCATTTTATTGGCCCTTATTTCGTCCTTGCACTTCGACTGTGGAAGAAAATTTGCTGTGAATGAAAATTACTAGAGGATGGTACTTGGCTGTTTCCACTGACAGAAATAGTCACTGATTACGTTGAGCCAGCACAAGTGTCCAACTTGATGTTCAGGAGAGGTCGAAGTGCTCTCTGACCAGGAGAAAGTGGCTGATGAGAATAAACAGACAGAAAACCACAGCTCCTCATGCCAGAGCTCCTGAAATACCCATACTAAAGTACAGTGTGCCAGTGTAAATGTTGCCTTGTAAGTAGTAACAATCTAAGGTAAAATGCAGATTTGAATAAAGATGTTCTGGATTTTAGTAAAACTTCATTAAAGACATGAGTGGCAGCTGTCATTCACTTCTTACCCATCAGCTATTTACTCGTATTTCTTGCTGAAAAAAAAAAAACAAAAAACAAATTTGTGCAGCACGACTAGCTAAAAGCACCAAGGATGAATCAATGATTTGTCTATAGGTGGGCATGTGGCCCAGTTCTAGACAATTAAATGTAAGAGAAAGACAGCTGGGATTCTAGCCTTGTGGAAAAGGTTATCTTATTGGCGAAAGAGAGAGATCATTTTTTTCTGTCTTCTCCTTTCTGCCTTCCTTTGAAAGTGATGCATGAGAATGCAATGCCTGGAGCATGGTCGCCATCTTTAGATGGTGAAGAGGATGAAAATCACTATGCAAAGTATGATGAGAAAAGGGCAAAGAGCTTAGATGCTTATAATGCCACTGAGTCACAGAACCTACCTACCCCTAGACACCATGTTAAATACACAATTAAGTGTACTCATAAAGCCACTCTTGCTTCAGTTTTCCGTTACATGTAGCCTGAAGATACACACAGCACTCATTGTGACTCCATTCCATTTTTACTCAGTAATTATGTACGGAACAACAGATGTTCCAGGCGTTGTGCTAGGCCCTCGGATATAATGGCATAAAAGGAAAAAGTCCCTATTCTGAGGGCGTTTACAATTACTTGGGAATGACAGACAAGCAGCCTCTTAAGTGGGAAACACACTAAACTCAGATTTAATGGAATACAAACAGGTTCCCAAAAGGAAGTGTCATCTGTTCTGACATCTCAAAGACAAGCTGAAGTTGACAGATAGAAAGAATGGTGTATAGTGGCATCCAGTGAGCCCAGTCTAGGCCAGGGAGCAAAATGTGTGAAAAGAGTCAAGAGAGGTAGGAAAGGATAGCCTACTGGGGATCCTAAGGGGAATAAAAGTAAGACTTGAGAACAGAAAGATGGGAAGTGAGGAGTAATAATGATGAAGGAGATGCAAACTAAGGTGTGCCCAGTCGAGAACAGCTTGTCAACCGTGGCAAGCTGGACTCTCGTCTCTCCACCAGCCAAGACCCAAGGCCTCAGCTCCTTCCCACTGAGGAACAAGCACTCTTGCCTGTGCAAGTACAAAATACTCACTTCAAAATAAAGTCTTTGAATAATCCCAGGGCTCATAAGTGCCTTGGAGGCACTAGCTTCCTAGTCTCAGAGATGTGAATGCTGACACTGGGCATCAGGTCGAAGTTTGGATTAGATAATCCCCAGGGTCTCTAAATACTGAGCACTCACTTTAGCCACCAGAGGACAAGCTCTGTGAGGAAAACAGTCACACAGCATCAAACCCTGCCTCCTGGAAGGTCCGCAACAGACATTACAGATTACAGGACCTAATGCCAGACCCCCAGAGGCAATGTGAAGATCCAGTCATGCCTCAATGGCTTAGTCAGCCCCTTGTAGACGTGCAGGTGGAAGAGTCACCTATTGGGTTAATACACGTGCTGGGGGGCTGAGGGCATCTCTTCTGGGAGAAGCAGCCTCAGGATCGATGGCGGTGGCCTCTTCCAGATCACACTAGTGTCTCTAGCCACAGAGTTCAGCGGGTTGTAACTCAAGCTGGGTTTCCTTAGATCTTTTCCATCTGAAGAGACCAGACTCCTGGTTTCCTAAGACTGGAAGTAAAACAATGCATCCTGATGAACTGCAAAGGCAAACTCTTTCCTGACGAGAAGGAAGTTGTCAGCACCATATAGCGTAAGACAGGGGCCTTCAGAGACAAGAGGGGAGGAAGGAGCCTGATGAGGATATTCAAAATGGAGCAGAATGAAATGCCCACCTTGCACCGGGGCCTGAAGAACTGGTCATCCCTGAAGAAGCCAAGTTATGGAGCTCTGAAGGGCTTTCCTATCAGAATAAAGCCAGAGGCAGTAAATGACTGAGAGAGTATTTCATCTTCCACGATCTCTGACCTGGAACACAATTTCCGGAAAACAACAACAAAAAAAACAGAGATGGGGAAAAGTTTAGCCTCCCAAGTAGCTGGGATTATAGGTGCCCACTAGCATACCTGGCTAATTTAGTAGAGACAGGGTTTCACCATGTTGGCCAGGCTGGTTTCGAACTCCTGACCTCAAATGATCTGCCTGTCTTGGCCTCCGAAAGTGCTGGGATTACAGGCATGAGCCACCATGCGCAGCCCATTGTTGTTGTTTTAGGAATAATTATACCAATGTTAAGAGCATTCCCCCACCTGTCTCCACATACCCCAACCTGTCCCTACATACCACTTCAAAAAAGAGAAGTTTTGTGTCATTAACACGACGGAAGAACTTCTTAAAAAATGTAACTGTCGAGTGTTCTGTTTGCATTTAGGAGACTGTTCATCTGTACTAGATTGTCATTGTTCCCCCCTTCTCCCACAAAATTTTACTGGTAATCCATATCATGACTCATAGTTGCTCCTCTAACCATGCTGTAAAAGTGCAGACAGCCAATGTGAAAAGGAGCACTTGCTGGGCACCAATGACACCGTTCATGTTACTCGTAGTTGAGTAATCAACATACCTAGAATTATCTTGCATTGCCTAAGTCATATGTATATGGTGAATGTTATATAATATACCTGGCAGGTCTGTTTTAATTTAATTGAATAAAGATACAAATACTTTGTAATAATAATAATAAAGTGGTCAGGGAAGACACTGCAAAGGGCCTGTGGATACTCGGGCAAAGAGGGTTCTGAGTAAAAGGACTGTTAGGTTTCAAAACCCTGAAGCTGGGGGCCAGGAAGGAAGCCAGAGTGCCTGGGGCAGTGTGCACACGAACAGAGTCTTAGGATTCCAGGAAGCAAAGCGACATTGTGGACCTATTTGACACCTAGAAAAGATCATTCTTTATGTCCCCTTCATCTACGTGACAAATTTTTCATGTGTGAGGTAGAATTCATAGCAATAGCTAGAAAATAAACATAGACAGTCAAATGGTCTTTTATAGACTGTTGTATATGTAATTATGCCAGTAAAAATAATTTTTAAAAATAAAGATTGCTGTATATAAAGAAGTAATGAAGACTTGTCCACTATACTAAGATATTTTTCACTAAAAGAGAAAAATGTACACATTTTAATTAATAACTTTATAGCAACTAATGAATGAATTTTAACAAAATGAAAAAACTGGCAAAAAGTGAAATTTAGGCAATTATTAAATCATTTCACTCATGGAATATTTTGTTTTCTTGACTCATTTTTTTTAAATGAACAAAAATTTGTAAAGCAAACTAAATCTCCATTTTAAAGATACTGTTCAATTCAGAAATATATTTCAAGTATGAACTAAAACTTACCATAAAAAAATTACAACTTATAATGTGCACTGTCTCTTACTCTGTGAAGAAGAGCCTTGGAAGAAAAACTTCTAAGACAACTGGACTAAATTGGAGCCAGGAAACGGAAGTCTGAACAGTGTGGAGAGGGAATTCGATTTTATATTATTGACAAAAACAACCACTGGAGCTTCAATAGTAGTTCCCCAATTTCTTCAGCTCTCCTCACCAATAACAGTGGAAAACTGTCATATGCAAAACACTATTTTGGGTCCTAAAATGACGATCTGTAGACAGATGAGGTACAAACTTTGCCCTTGAGCTCAGTCTGCAGGAGCCACGCTCACAAGTCCAAGTCTTATGT